AGATGGAAAGTATGAGTATTTGCGCATGGCATTCGGCTTTTGTAAAGCGTCACAAACAATGCAAACGGTGATGCGCAAGACTTTTGAGGGACTTCCACGCACTACCACATACATAGACGACATCCCACAGGAAGCAAGATCCATCAGTGAAGCTCTCGAACTCTTGGAAGAGGCACTCCGTCATGTGGTACTCAACGGTCTAAGGATGGATATTCGGAAGTGTCAGTTTGTGCGCAGCCAAGTATCATTTCTTGGTTACGTCATCACGGATGAAGGGAGGATTCCCGACCCAAAACGAGTGGCACGCGTTGACAAGTTCCAGCCCTCAAGAGATGCAAAGCACCTCTACTCATTCATCCAGTTTGCCAACCACTTCCGAAGATTCATAAAGAACTTCTCGGCGAAGACGCTACCACTGCGCCAGCTTCTTGTCAAAGACAGTGAATTCGTTTGGTACGAAGAACACCAAAATATTGTAGACTGTCTGAAGCACGCCTTAGAGCACTCCCCCATCCTCGCCAACTTTCGCAGCGACTGCCTTTCAACGGTGCATACCGAAGCCAGCCAGCATGGCCTTGGCGCCATTCTCACTCAGGCCCAAGACGCACAAAAACACGTGATTGATTATGCGAGTCGTGCACTAAACGCACACGACAGCCAATTCCACTCAAACCTGCTGGAATGTATGGCACTACACTGAGCAGCAACCGAGAAATTCGCCATCTACCTCAAGGGCGGCCCACAGTTCACAGTGCTGACCGATAACCTTAGCCTTACATACCTAGCACACAAAGCAACAACAAACCGTTGTTTTGCAAGATAGACCATCGATCAGCTTTCTGACTACGATTTCAAGATCTGTCATCGTCCAGGCAAACTCAACAAAGCGGATGCACTTTCCCGGCTGGACGGTCTGGACCGAGAGCCGGACTCTCTCCAGTTCAAGGTGACAGCGAGTAGGAATGCCACTTGCTTGGTGGTACTGTCAGCTAACAACCGCCTACGGGAATATCAAATGACGGACCCAGACTGCCGATGCCTCCACCAGCAAACGACGACAGTACAGAATTTGTACTGAAAGACGAGATTCTGGTTAAGACCAACGCAGACGGAAGGGGTACCAAGGTGGTGGTACCGGCTGTGTTGCGGGACATATTGCTACAAATATGCCACGACTCAACAGGGCATATGGAAGCGCAACGCACGTTGGACCTGATTCAGAGAAGGTACTGGTGGCTCAGCATGTCACGCCACGCGAGGGACTACGTCCGGTCCTGCCACTTGCCGGAGAATCAACAGGAGGACCACAATCCAGGAGGGATCGTTGCAACCGAGGGCCATCCCCGAGGAACCTAACACGGTCGTATCACTCGATCACTTTGGTCCCTTGGAAGAGGGCGATGGTTGCACCATGTGCTTGTGTGCGTCGATCATGCCACGCAATATGTTGATGCAGCCGCAATCCCCTCAACAGCTTCAACGTTCTACCTGGACTTTTTAATGAATCGATGGATACCAAGATTCGGTGTCCCCAAGACCATAGTGACCGATCAAGCAAAGGGCTTCATCAACAAAAGGACAGCAGCTGTGCATCGACGTCTTGGTATAGCACACGTGACAACACCGCCTTACTGGCCTCAGGCCAATGGTGTGGTGGAACGGACGGTAGGAATCCTAAAGAACGTAATCCAGAAAATCATTGAGTCTCACTCGGATTGGAATAAGAAACTTCCAGAAGCAGTATTCGCCATCAATGTCTCCAAGCAGAAATCGACACAACATAATCCGTTCAAACTCATGCACGGATATGTTCCACGTCTGCCTGGTCAGCTTCTTCTGTCCGACGTTGATAAGGAGCTAAGTGAATCATCCAGGCTCTCCGAACTTGCCAGGAACCGAGACCGAGCAAGATGAAACTTCGAGAAAAGCCAAGCGAACGCCAAACGACTTTATGATGGCTAACACAAGGTTCCAAACTTCCGGATCGGTGACACTGTCTATTGCACAATAGGCCATCGATCATTGACACTGGATCCAAATTTCGATGGACCTTACGAAGTAACAGAGCTTCTAGGCGAGAATACTGTTAAAATCAAGCGCGCTCCACAGAGCCACCACCGACTAAAAGAGCGGGTGTTTAACGTAGAACAGCTGCGACGACATGCCACACGTGACATCAATGTCCCTGAGTTGGGCGATTCAATCATCGCACAGGTGCTTCGACAGGGTGCAGACTCCGAGGACGCTAACCGGAGCGACGGTCTCAGTACCGAAGAGCCATCCCGGACGAAAATTCCGAAGATACAGGTACAGATCTAGAGAACCCCGAAGAAGTCGATAGAGATCTAGAGATCACAGATGAAACGCTCGAAGACCTGGAACCTCCGAGTGATGTAGGGTCACGTCCCTCTAGGACTAGCCGAATGCCAGTCCGTTATAAGGACTATAGTTATGATCTGAGGATCAGATCGCATTTGTTTTGGGCGTGTTAGCTTGCTCAAGCGCTCAGTGTGAGCGGGACAGCCACATTGGGAGCGATAGCAAGACGGAGCGGGGACGCCGGGACGCCATCACGCTTTGTTTCGTGCAAGCCTTTATTAAACCAGTCTTATTTCTAAAGGACGTGTTTTATTCGCGATCGACTGACTAAAACGACCTATCAGTCGCGTCTCTCGCTAACACCTTGACCAGCCATCGAACTCCTAGGGAAACACAGAGAAAAATTTCGTGCTTTCTGATTTTGTGCAACTAATGAACGATTTAAAAGGTATGTTGGCGCAAGAAGACAAGCGCGAAAGGAAGATCCAGTTGTTGACACTAGCACCTCATTCCGGGTCTCGCGGGAAGGTTATGGAGTTTTCTGGGGCATCTGAACGGCAGGTGCGCGAGGCCATCAAAATCAAAGAAGAACGCGGAGTACTGTGCATGCCACCAAAGAGGAGAGGTCGCTCTTGAAGCGAAGGCGTGAAGACTTCAGTGATTCATTTTTATGAGGATGACTCAGTGTCTTACTGGCTCCCAGGTAAAAAGGATGTGTTGTACGGCCGTCAAAAGCGTCTGTTGTTATTAAACCTAAAATAACTTTACCGAGAATGAAAGAAAGCTTCTAATTTAACCTGTGGATTTTGAACATTTGCCAGTATGCGCCCTTCAAATTGTGTTTTGGCCGGGCAAGGGGGACGCACACTATATGCGTGTGCATGCAGCACCAAAACGTGAAGTTGACATTACACGCTAGTGGCCTAAAAGAGACAATCGAAGAATTGTTAGCTACCACAGTGTGTCGAGTTGACAAAGAGGACTGTATGTTTGGCAAGTGCGACATGTGCCCCGGTGCAAAATGCGTTGCGGCCTTGCTTCAGAGTGGGCCCGCCCTTGATACCAAGCAAGTGAACCACGTCCAAGTTCAGCAGTGGATAAGTGGCGTGCGCTGCAAACTTTAAACGATTGTCTTGTCACCAAAAGATTTTATTGAGAAAGTTTCGGAGATGTTGAATCAACTAAAGAGGCACCATTTCATAAGCAAAACAACACGCTCGATACTTGCCAGAATTAAAAAATACACTACAAAATGATGAGGCCATCATTCTCATGGACTTTGCGGAAAATTACAATTTCCTGCTCCAAGACGCGCCGCAATCTTACCACTGGATCAATACGCAGGCTACACTCCACCCTCTTGTTGTGTATTTCCGTCTGCAAGAAAGAGCTGAAAAAAATATCCGTGAGGTTGTTTGCTGTCATTTCCGACTGCCTATAACATGATACTGTAGCAGTATATGCGTTTCAGTGTGAAGTCCTAAAGCAAGTTAAAAATGACCTGCCGGAATTAAGAAAAATATTTTACTTTTCCGACGGAGCAGCATCCCAGTGCAAGAACAAAAAGAATTTTCTGAACCTCTGTTACCACGATAATGACTTCAGTATTTCAGCTGAATGGAACTTTTTTGCAACCTCCCACGGAAAAAGTCCCTGCGACGGCATTGGGGGAACCGTAAAACGCTTGGTAGCGAAAGCCAGTTTTTTGTATTTTCCGAGGTGCATCTTTTATGGGGCATACGTCGCTGGGCCGAGTGTTCATCTTAACGCAGCCTAGGGCAGCTTGCTCCAAACCAGCTCACCTCATTGGAAGTTCTGTCGGGGGTAGCCGGTCGAGTCCAGCGAGCCGGTCGAGTCCATCCCAGGCGAGAGAATCAGACACAAGACACACGATGTTCTCTCAGGCAGAATCTTTCTCGAAAGATTCCCCGTGCTTTCTCTCTTCTTTTTCTTTTTATTTCCAAGGCGCACAGTCACGCCATCTGCTTGGCTTAGACGAGGAAGAAGATGAACTTAAAATCACTACATTCTTCCTTCCTTAAAAAGAAAAAAAAAAGAAAGAAAGAAAAATTGGAGAATGTTACGCCTTTAACAAATTCAAAATTATACAAAATGACGCAATTTCTCTATTTCACTTATTTCCTCTCTTTCGTGAGAAAAAAAATGATTTGAAAAGATCGTCTTTGCTCATCACCGCAGAAAAGAAAGAACAAGCAACAACACATATACCAAGTAAAAAACAAACAAAAATATGTTCACTACAAAAGCTGCACATACACTAGAGTCGGCATATGTCTCTCTTCAAAGTTTTCCATCAACATCACTATATGGCCATTTTGAATAGAAGACACTCGTAACACCGATGAGCTGCACATAGTCTTTGAGGCATTCCGGAGGTCGGGTCTGGAGGACTGGTCGACCTCGACTTTCTGGTAGAGCTGTAGCTGGATCACTCAAAGTAGCTGGAGCACTTACTACAAGTGGAGCACCCACAGGACCTATGCTATCACTGCAGTCGCTCGTGCTGCCTTCGAGGGGTTTCATTGAAAATGCTGTGCCGCTGGAAGGTGTTTTGAGGCGGGACAAAGCTGAATCATCAGGAACAGCCGGTGACGAGTACTGCCCCGGATCTGGAATAGCCGAACCCGGGTCCTGGGCGCAGGCTTGTCCAAGATCCAAAACAGAAAGAGGCGCGGCGGCTTTAAGTGATGGGTCTGTCACCGGACCAGGTACGAGTGATGTCAGGGGATGGTGGCTCCTCAACCAGTACAGGATCATGAAGGAAGCCCCTTTGTGGTGGTTGCGCCACCACTAGAATAGAACTTGCATTTGATGTAGACGAGTTATAAAAGTGCATCGGCTGGGTGATTGGGGAAAAATCGTCATCGTCCCAGTCAAAAGCGAAGTCGTCATTGTTTCCTTGCTGAACTTTCATGGCTGTCTTCGCCAACTTCGCAGCATTCCATCTGCGACCATCAGAAAACTCGTAAGTGGCTGGACCGATCTGGGCTTTGATGACTTGAGGTTCTGAATATTTGCTTGTCAACTTATCTCGGTGTCGAGGCTGAAAAACACGAAGAGCTTGTCCCGGCTGAAACTGAGGTCGTCTTACAGCTCGACGACGGTCAAAGTACGACTTCATCTTATCTTGATACTGGTGGACTTTAGCGGGTAGCTGTTCCCGTTCTGAGGAAGCGTTACTGGAACTTGTCGTGTAGGCAAGCCCTGTACATCAAGCCTTGAACGATAAATTTGTCCATGAAGTGGAAGGGTTGACCTGTTGCTGAATGGCACTTCCTACGGTAGGCTTCCAGGTGGTCGCGGACAGCGTCAGGAAGCGAGCGGCCGTAGACCACAGCTAACTGGAGCCGAGATTTTAGGACTCCGTTAAACCTTTCTACTTGGCCGTTGGCCTGAGGGTGGTACAAGGATGTTTTGATATGCTTATTGACGCCATGTATGCGGAGATACTCTTGAAACTAATGTGAAAGGAATTGAACTCCGTTGTCGGATACAATCTGTAACTGTAGTCCCTCACGGGAAAAGACTTTCTTAAGAAAGTTGACGACTGTTGTCGTTCTGTCAGAAGGTACAGCTCAGACCTCTGGCCACTTACGAGTGGTAATCGATTAGGACAATGAGGAACCGTTGACTAGGAGGTGCACGCTCCACAGGTCCAACGACATGAATCCGAGTTTCTCCCAAGGCTGCTGGGGAAACGGGTTGTAACGGTGCAGGCGCTGCCTTTACAGTCTTGTCTGTGGAGTGGCAGACAGTGCAGTTCTCGACTTTAACCTTGATGTTTTGATTCATCAGAGGCCACCAATATTGGTCTCGGGTGCACTTACGGTTCTGGAAATCCCCTGGTGTGTCTCACGTGCGACTGGGATTACTTGTTCTCCTAACCTCTCCGGAACAACAATCTTTTCTCCTTTGAAGAGGATTCCCTCGTGCAGTGAAAACTGGTCACGGATGTTAAGATAGGGCTTCAACTCCGGTTCTGCTTCTAATTTTCGTATTTATTTTGTGCTAGGTTGGATGCAATTATTGGGCATTTATTTATTAATGCGAACGCATTAACTATCCCATGGAGCGAAGCCGGCGGCGTCTGTAACCGCGAAGAAAATTCCCATCATCCCATTGGCTGGCGAAACGGCTCTTAGTTAGCCATTGGTGGCCACTTCACGAGAGCGTGCGCTCGGCCGCCGCTCTTGCGTCAAGCATTGCCGGAGGAAAGGGGGGGGGGGGGGGAGGCTTTCTGCCATTTCTGGGCCAGCGTGCTAGAACGGCGTCTCAGCTGATACTCGGTGAAAGGAAGCACTGCAAATGCTGATGCGCGCGAGCATCTTGAGACGCGGCAAGGGTCACTGCCGGACTGGAAGCGAGCGCTCTCTTTATCTTCTTACGGCCTTTGCGATTGGGGCAATCGCCACCTCCCGCCGCAATTCGAGGGGGGCGCTACCTCACCCCTCGGGTACCCTTTGCCGTTTGCACAGAGCGCGTCTGACAGTGTATCTCAGCGCTGTCGCAACTTGCGGCCGAGATTTTTATAGCCTTTGACACCTGATCCTTACGTTTAGACCCTCAGCCACTATCTAATGCGCTTCTCATGAGCCCCAAACGGTGAATATTTGACGCACATCTCCGAGAGATGCGGGAGTAGAAAGTAGTAAGTAGAGACAGCGAATGCAATTGCGGAAAAACTATACTCGTCTTTACCTTCAGGACTTCTGATGAAACTCAAGAACAGGAGGAGACGGACCCCTCCTACGTGGAGGAACTTTAAATGATACATAATTCGTACACTCTCGTGAAATGTAAGCAGGCCCAATCTATTTATTGCCGTGGTCTGCATCATCATTTCATAGGCCGCACATGAAGTCGGTCAGCTGCTGTAGGCAATGGTGTAGTAGTCTGTACAATTTTCGCACAGTGCATATTACAGCCTAAAGTGCTTCCTCGAGGCCTTGGGCAGATATCCAGCTGATTTTTCGTTTAAATCCGTGACCGTCTTTGCATGGTTACTCAGAGGTATTCTGAGGAACGTTTTGCAAATTAAACGAGCCAAGCGCTTTGAGTGACTGTTGTCAATGCCCTCTGGATAACTTAGGATTGGCGCGTCTTCAAGATAGGGTGCAATGAGTAGTTGCAGAACTTCATGCACCTTTGTACGCAGAAGGTGCTTAACAGCCTTTAAAAAAAGCTACAATGTTGTTCAGAAGTGCGAGAAACCTAGGATTTGGATAATGAAGTCCCCTTTTATCCTGGCCTTGCAGTAAGACGAACAGAGGATCACCTCTGTTACTCGTAGTCAACAGCAGCTCGAAGGGACTCTCTGAGTAAGTAACAGAGGATCACCTCTGTTACTCGTAGTCAACACCAGCGCAAAGCCGCTCGAAGGGACTCTCCGAGTGGGGTTAAGTGGGGTGAGGTGGTTGCGCTCCTGGCGGCAAGCAAGTGAACTACATACCGTGAAAAAATGCCATTGACTCCCGGGCGATTGCAATGGCCGTAAGAAGAGAAAGAAAGCGCGCGTCTCCAGTCCGCCCGAGCAAGGGTCTTGCTCAGCTCGTGCGCTGGCTTTGGCAGTGCTTTCTTTTATCCAGTCTCAGCTGAGACGCTGTTTCTAGCAAGTGGGCCCCAGGCGGCGCCAAGGAACATGGCGCCGCCTGAGGCATCTACATCGGCGGCGGCCGCAATCTCGGCAGAAGCGAAACGTGGCCCTCAACGCCAGTACACTGCAGACGAACTAAGGGAGCGGAAGAACAACATTCATGCCTTCGCATTCACAACTCGTAAGAAATGCTTAGGTGTCCTTGGAATTTTTTTGTATGCTCTTATATGTATTAATTCCTTTCCCACTGTCCTCTTCTATTCTTTCTCGCACACTTCTCTCCTTCTCCAAAACGAGTGAGTCTTTGAGCTACTCACCACAGAAAGGAAAAGGGTTTCCTTTTTTTCTCCAACGGAGAGGAGAAATTGAGAAGCGGTTTTCTCCTTCCTGGCTGCTTGTTGGCCTTTAAAGCCCATACCTATAGAGGAAAAAAAAAACATAATTTGCACTGCAGTACAGCAAGCACAAATGCAAATTTTGTAAAAGGAGCTCAGAGTTATACACTGGAAAATATAGTACTTGCAAACCAAGTGGAAGAAGTTCATCTAATTAAATCATTGTAAGTCGCATTTTAAAAAATAAACTAAAAAAACAAAACAGATATAATTAGCTCTGTATACTCCGTTTCACGATAACCTGGCGAACTGTGGAGGCTGCGGCCCCTGCGAGCCAATAAGAGCGTCGGAGCAAGGCATCTGATAACCCTTAAGGGTCGAGGCCACGGAAGCCTCGTTACCACCAGAGCAACAGCGCCGTCTGCGACAAAAAGTAGTTCTAGACTTCTTTTTTCATTTAACGACATTCGAGCTCGTGCGATTCCATTTCTATCAAGAATATATGAAAAGCAAAAATTACATATTTAAGAGTGTATCGGCTTCAATTATCTTTAAACCAGAAATGTGATGCCACATCCATGTCCGATCCCGATTCTTTTCTCCTTGTAGCGCTGTGGCCGCGTTGGCACCATTCTTTCTTTGTATTGCTCAACTGGTTCGCACGTTTAGCACATCCTCTTCTGACAGCAACAAAACACGAAATAAAGACTAAGACAGGTTACTTTTAAAAAATATTTAAGTCGGATTAATCATTTTCCGAGAACAATATGGCTTTTGAACGGTGTTTGAATGATCACAGCCAAGTAATCGACTGCTTCCGTTTAAAACATCGTCCCGACATTAACACCCGCGCGATAGATTCGCAGGTAAATTGAGCGTATGGTTGTATCATAAACTGTTCCCGAAGAGCTCGCTGGTCTAGCGGACGGCAATGTTGCGGCGGTAGACGTTCATCCGAGCAGACGAGTCTGCTCCTCCTGGCCTTGCATATGGCGCAAAGAAACAAACGCTCCAGTGATGTTTGTGACACGTGCCTCACTCCGACGCTCTTATTGGTCGGGGGGGGGGGGGGGGGGGGGGGGGGCGTAGCCTCCACAGTTCGCGAAGTTATTGTGAAATGGAGTATAATATAAGATGCACTAACAAAAATTTTGGAAATAAAACTGCGAGTTATACACTGGAAAAAGCAGAACATTGCAAACCAAGTCGAAGAAGGTCATCTAAATATGCAGGGTGTTTGAGAGAACGCAGGCCAAATTAGAGCACTATATAGCTCCTACGGAGCAGAGTAGCACAATCCTTTGAACCCCGTGTTTTGCCGACAACATGGCCGACAGAGCGGCTCGGCGCGAGTCACGTGGTACTCAGGGTTCCAGGAGGCGGCCCGCCCTATGGGAGAAAACATGGAGATCGATACAACACGGCTGATTAAAAAATGAACGGCGAGTTCACACTTTTCAAAACTAGTCTGCCGTGAAGTTAGTAAAGCACTAAAAACTTCATCAAAGTTTTAATAATATCGGATGCGTGAGCAAATTTTGAGAAGGCAATTTCCAAGGCAATGGCGTTTGAAGCAGACGATTTTTCTTCGCAGCGGAGATGGGCTTTTCGGGTTGGCCGGAGCGGGTCACGTGAATAGTGTGACGTCGCCGTGTCGTCTGCTGCATGATGCCGCTCAAGCAATTTTTAAAAAAAAGTCGGGTCCTTGCGGGGCACAAAACTTAGCGCAAATTATTCTAAAATGTTCCATTATTATGTCAAAAACAACTGCCACTCCGTACACCCCCACAATGCTGAAGAAACAACGATTTTCTCACGTTCTCCATGCATTTCTGACCGCAGTTGGAACCTCCGGGCGTTCGCCGCTAGTCGCCGAGAGGCGGCGTTCTAGATTGCGCTACTCCTGCGCTACTCTGCTTCGAAGGAGCTATATAGTGCTCTAGGCCAAATCGCTCCTGCGAAAACTACTCATCGCTACGAAAAAAGGCTTGTGGCGTTTTGGTCCTGGGCCAGGGGCCCATTTAGGAAAATTATTGAAGTCCGGGATAATTAAGTTGTTAAAGGGGCAGTGCAACGATTTTCAGACTTTGGCCAGTTAAGTGCGGAAGTTAATCTGCGTCACCTATGGAACGAAAAACCGAAAGCCGCATTTTCTTGCGAGCGCTAGTTCTTATTTAAAAAAATGAAACAAATCGAAGGTCGAAGTGCCTCTCAACTCTCCACGCCGACTTTCGAGTGACGTCTCTGGGGGTTCACGTGGTTTCCCCTTGGGCCCTCTCTTCAGAGACCCCAGCCGCTTCCTCCGCGATTGTGGACTTTCAAAGGATTAGCCTCGTCGAAGGTCGCGGCGAGCGATGGACACAAAGGACGGTTCTCTATGGGGCTGACGGCGAGTGTAGCAGCGGAGGGGGACAGGGTTTGTTGACTTCCGCGTATCCCCCAGAGACGCCGTCATTTTAGTTCCCGTAGCCGCCACCGGCGGCTGCAGATCGGCAAATAATTCGTTTTTTGCCTTGCGATTACGCAGCAGAATAGCCGTTTTTTTGGGAAAGGTGACGCGTTTTTGGTCACTTGGGCTTGTATGAACAATATAAAAAATGCAAACTGGCAATTCTTTCAACATTAAAACCGTTGCACTGCCCCTTTAAATATTTTCGTGTAAGTAACTTTTTTAATATTGTGCTTAAGGGTGTGGTTTGAATTAGAAAATTGCTCAGCATCATCGAAAAACACTAAATCAACAAATTGCAGAACGATAGAAGGCGCGCGAAGCATTTTACGGTAAGATGCTTCGCGCGCCTTCTATCGTTCTGCAATTTTCTAATTCAAACCATACCCTTAAGCACAATATTAAAAAAAGTTAATTACACAAAAATATTTAACAACTTAATTATCCCGGACTTTAATAATTTTCTTAAATGGGCCCCTGGCTCAGGACCAGAACGCCACAGGCCTTTCTTCATTGCGATGAATAGTTCTCGCAGGAGCGATTTGGCCTGCGTTTTCTGAAACACCCTGTATAATTGTAACAGTCGTATTTAATATTCAACTAAGGTGTAAAGGTTGGTGCACCCACTTTTGCTTCCTCTATAATCACCCAGCTTTCGCTCTACAAATTGAATTTGTTGCACCATAAGATGCAGCCACTTACCTTTGGCATCATGCAGTGCAGGAATCTCCACACCGGAGATATTGAGGCAATGAATAAGTGACAAATAGGGACAGCAACTTCCAGTTGACCTTAGCGCTGTATGCCTGCGGGGCCACATAACATGTAAAACATGCAGCAGCCAAGGGCACAATATTTGTTAAGAGTCATCGGTGAAAGCTGTACAGCTGTGACTGTGATCTATTCAATGCATATACATGCTCCAATCATTGCACAATGCACTGTTGAATGTGTTTTGTATGAAGCTTTTGAAGTTGATAACTTTACACAGGGAACCCCTCACAACTGTTGTGAGATTTGTGCACTCTGAAGCAATTCGTTGAAAAGAAAAGCGATTTTTCGGAGGAAACTGCATGACTATAGTGCAGCAAAAGAAAGACAAATATGAGAACTGCTTAGTCTTTGCATTTTTTTCTTCTGGCTTGACAAATCGTTTGTGCTCGTATGTAGCTAGGACACTGAAATGAATCTCGCAGTGTCCAGACTGACGTTCGCTTCTCCTTTCCCTCAGGACTCAAGCGTGCACAGGGAGGTGCACAGAGAAGGCAGGCGAGTACATGCGGGTATTTGAACTCGCTATACTGACCTTGTAAAAGTTGTGTGCCTGCTTTTCTCAGCAAACCTCTAAAAGAAATGTGGTAATAGGTACAGGCAGTCTTTGTATTAGTTAACGACAGACACATCAAGTTAAGCTTATATAAATAAATTTCTTTTGTCAACCCACTAGATGGAGGGATTAATTGGCTTTCATATTTTTATAATATCGCTTAATTTTGGAAGGCAAATGGGCAAAGGTGAGCCTCACCTCTCTGATCCTCTCGTACGGTAGAAAAGCCAGTGCCGTCAACATCCGCACAGACGTCGCGAAGCTCTTGTCACGGTTATACTGGGGTTGGAGCTTGTACTCCTGCACGTGCTTGTAGATGGCGTGTCCCAAGTGAAACAAGCACCTGTGGCACTTTGTGTCTGGCAACACCTTCTGAATGGCATTCATTGCGGCCTGCTCAAAGTCCGTCAAAAGAAAAGTGAACTCAGTTGATTTCCAGTGGCTTCCTCAACCATATTGAAGGGTCCTGAAACACAGTAAGTTCAATCCATCACTTGTAGCTGTGAAGGGGAGAAACTTGTTAGCGCTTATAGTTTGCAGGGCACAGGCAGGTATTGCGTTGCTCCTTAAAATCCCTAAAATCAAGTTATCCATTCAAACATTCTCTTGTGGTCTTATTTTGAAATAACAGTAAAAATAGTAGCGATATTTTGCAGTTGACAGAAAAAAAATGCCAGTCCATTTTTTTACGGATAATTGAGCTAAAAGTTAAAAATTAATATTGTAATATAAACTTGTTTTAAGTTATAATCTATTATATCATAATTCTGACGGCAAAAGAGTCCACACAAAGCATGGACAGTGAACAGGAATGTATATTCGTGCAGATACTAAATAACACCACGTGCGAGAGGCCATTTTTTTAAAGGAGCGTTTGACTGGTTGTTTACGCGTGAACTAGCGCTGACGTCAGCACTCGTCGATGTGGAGCAGATAGTGGTAGCTCATCAACTCGAATTGCCGTTTTCATCTGAGCCTGTATCACCGCGGTACGATTCAAAGGGGGACATGATTCTCGAAAGGGCAGATGGTAATGGCAGTTTGCGTTGATGGACACCCCAGCTCCACCCATCTGCTCCACATAGACCAGTCCTGATGTCAGCGCTAGTTCGAACGTCACCAGTCAAGCGCTCCTCAGAGAAAAACGCCCGCTCGCGTGGAGCTATTTAGTATCTGCATGACCGTACGTGACGCACGAACACTGTGTCGTCATTGCGATCATGTCAATAAAAATTGGCTCGCACAAAATCAATATGAAAGTTGTGTGGATCAAAAGGGAATTTAGAGCCATCACTGCTATTATAAAGAACTGTTATTTTTTCTTCCACTATCCTTCTTTTGTATATGCCATCGTACCATCGCAATTGACTACCAACTAACCCAGTGTACAGCGTGCTGGTACTATTATACTGTACCCCGTTTATTTTTGCCAGCATTTTAATACTGAGTAGTAAATGTAGTGCGACTTTGCATAAACTATGAATGCAAGAAATGTTGCTGTTCTCACTAATAAGAATGTACAGTGATCCCAATGTTTGAGTGGGCATGTACTATTTTGGTGATGAACGTCCTGTAGACAATTCTTCATAAAAGTAGTTCTACCATATGCTGTGTGTGTGTGAGAGAGAGAGAGAGAAAGTAAACATTTTTTCGCACCCAAAAATTCGTCCTGGGTCATTTTCTTTACCACTCATTGCCCAGCACGATTTTAACGTGCTGAACTAAGAGCGGCCAGAGGATTAGTTCGGTCCCGGCAGGGGGATTGGCCCACTCCTCCCAGCTCCCGGGCTTAAGTCTGGCTGGAAGTGTTTGTAGTGCTGTTTTAGTTTTGGCAGCTACGTTGAGGCAGTCCCATAGCTGATGGGCATTGCTGAGGTACCACCCGCAGGTGCTGCACTGTGGTGTGCCTTTTGCGCCGCTGATGTAGTGTCCAAGGTGTTCAGTCATGAGGCTTGTAGTCTGCGCTCTCCGCACTATAGTTGAGCCTTCTCTGTTAAGTAGGTAAGAGGAGCTATGTTTTGTTTTCTCGGAGCTCCCCTCTTTCTCTGTTTATGCATGCATAGATGTCCTATGAATGTAAGGGTCATAGGAATGGAGTCATGGGATGAGGACGCCCGGATTGAGGTTTCCGCGGGCGAACTCATAAGCAAGCTCGTTCCCCTTTATGCCTTGATGCTCCGGTACTCACTCTATGGTCACCGTGGTCTGAGGATGGTTGACCATAGTGTCTGTTAGCATAGTTGTAATGTGTGGGGGAAGGGTGTTGTCCCTGAAGTTGCGTATGGCCCCTTGGCTGTCTGTTGTGATTGTGACACCGCCTTGGTCGCATGGGCCCTGATGGCCTCCGTTATGGCTAAGTTTTCCAGACTAGTGGGAGATGGAGCGTCTTTGTGTATGTGGTTTGCGTTTCTTGGCCCACTATAGCAGCCGTGCCCGTCTTGTTTTGGGGGTCATAGCTGGCGTCCATGTAATACAAGAATATGTATCTTGTTTATTGAGAATACGCTGTGTGATTCGAGCTCTTCGTTCGTTGTCTTTTTCGGGGTTCATGTTTCTTGGGTATGGGCTTGGTGTTAATTCGGGGTATCCAATCCCATGGTGGGGCCAGATCTGGTATAGCTGGAAGGTCACGAGTTTCATGTCCTATTTCTTGGAGGAGTTTCCTGCCTCGTTTAGACGTCTGGAGTCTTTTATACTGCGCTGTATTGTGTACATCTGTTAGCTCCCCTAAGGTGTTAAAGATGCCTGTCTCTTCAATCTTGGTCAAAGGGGTAAATCTTGGTACCTCCAGTGGTAGGCGGGTGGCCTTCCTGAGATGCGCCTCAATTTTGTTTCTTTGGGTCGTTTCAACAACTAGAAAAACAATCAGTAGGGCAGTTGAGTACCTGTTTGATTGGAGATGATGAGCCTAACTAGTATAGTCTTGTACATGCATTGCCACATGCAACAATGATCACTTTGCTGTCAAAAACATAATATATTTTACCAGACACACTTGTATTTTTTTAAATTATAGGCAGGTTAGGGTTCCTGTGCATCCTGAATAATAAAAAAAAATCAAGAATTTTCTAATTAAGTGCCAGTAAAGTGAATTTTTCAGAAGGTATCTGTCGATGTAACAATCTGTTGACTACATCGCAATGCAGACAAAATGGTTTCATTATAAATTGCATTTGAGAAAACCGTCACAAACCTCCTTCTACAACATATAATGTGTACAGGGTGTCAACCAAAATATTGTTTTCAAATTCCCTGACTTTTTCAGGCTTTCCCTGACAATTTTATCAGAATTTTCTGACCGACCCATAAAAGGACGGGACACGTCTGGACTCTGAAGCTTTGTTTTTATGTGAAAAACACTGGTATATTTGACGGCCAACAGACCGGTGTCCAAGCACCGGATCCTATTACCTTGTCAGTCTATTCTTTGTTATTATTTGCTGAATAAATGTCTGGTTTTAAATAAACCACTGGACAAACAAGTTAGTGCAAGTGCAAAAAGAGAAGTTTGTCTTAGTGCGAGCATTTCAAGATGATGCGATTCAGGTACTGCCAATACTAGTTTCCGAGCAGGGGTTTGAGCCGGCACGCCAGTTGAGTCGCATGCAACGTGTTTTACACCACAGACACCTTGTTTGCAGTCGCTCAGACAAAGGAAAGCTCAATTTGTCTGACCGAGGCTGATTGGGGTGGAAATTAACTGACTTTTTCCTGTCTTTTCTATAATCACCCAATTCCCTGGCAATTTAGGTTTTCTTTCTTTTCCAGGTTGGTAGGCACCCTGTGTATGACACAGGATCGTTTATGTTCCCAAAGTGCTATTTTCACATGAGTATGTAGTTGAGATAGTGGGGAAGGGGCTTATGGCGCTTCAACCAGGCCAGCCCCCCCAAAATCTAGGCGACCTTGTATGCATTATGTGTGAGCCTCCTCTAAAGGAAGATCAGCTCTCGCCTCTTTGCCAGAGGCTCGCATTTCGAAAAGGGGCCTCTTAATACCAGCCAGAAGCAAAACTAACCTTAAAAAGGCGGATGTATGCAGCCTCAGTCTTTCGCGTCATTAGTGCATACACCAGTGGCACGGATTTGCTGTTCTCACGATAATCTTGAACCCTTGCATGAATTGTGTAGAGCTGGGAAAAAATTCCTGAGGACGCCAATAGATGTCCCATCGTCGAGCAGGGTGACTGCCTGAAAAGGGAGAAAATATTTAAGATTACTAAGACATTTAGAACTGGTTTAAAATAAAAAGAAATAAAAAGGTGGGAAAATGAAATTAAACTAATACAAATTAAGCTTAGTCGAAAAGTTAAAAAGAAAGGAATTAGTTTAACACAAATCTACACTTTTCGGCATTCCTTAAAGGGGCATTCACACCCGCGATGTAAGCAGTCGCGTGATGCGAATAAATCGCAACGCAAAAAAGAAAAAAAAAAATAGATGTGCGCGATGAGCGAGCCCAACGCCTTCGTTGGCGAGTCGCTTCTCGAAAACTCTCGCTCCAAACGCTGTTGATTGGTTCAGCCGCTCCGCGATTAGATCGCATCGCAAAAAGTCCGGTCAGCAAGCGACTGCTCAAATCGCGTCGCTTTTTACCCGCGATAGTCGCTTTTGCGATGAAAGTTATCGCGCGACTAGATCGCATCGCCGGTGTGAACGCGCCTTAAAGCCGATGATGGAAACCCTTCATCATAAAAAATTCTTCAAAAATGGAAAAATGTAAGACACTAGTGGAGAATGGGTGCAGTCATCTCCAAGCTCATGTATGCTTCAGTTTTTTTTTTTTAGCTTTAGCAGTGCTTCAGCTGTACACTTCTTGACAATGGAATCACTCTAGGCAATTTTGTCGTCATTGTGGAAGCTGCAAGTGAGAGTATTTGAACTTCACTGTTGTTTCCTATGATTGTATGTTCCCTTGAGGTCACCTCTGTAGATCTAAGTCCTCACTACTTACATTGTTTCTCATCCCCTTCGCACACCAACGGTCAGAAACCATGGAGGTGGATATAAGTGTGATTTTTGTGGAGTTCTATAGGAAAATGGTGTTGCCAGTTGGAAAAGCAGTATCATATTCGATTTTCTCATAGACTAATCAGTTCTTCTGGGCTGCCGGAACGAAATTTCAATTGAATAAGTTCGTGATAGTTCTGTAGTAGATGTACAGTGCGGGACACAGTCAGCAGAAACGCTCCACCACCGGTTTTATGTAATTTTATGGCCTCTAGGAACCGCACATGAATGAAATCAGACTGCGAGAAAGTACTCTTTGACAGTCACATGTATGAATTAAATACAAGAGACTGCCTATCCTATACTTTAGCTATTGTGCATATATCTGTACGTCAAAGTGTAAGAAATGTTTTACGAGCACCAAATCATTGACCCAAGCCCTGGACTTTTTCATGAACAGGGGATGGCAATACTTATCTATTTCTGTTTTACCAACACTTTTTTTTATTAAAAGAAAGCTTTGAGTTCATCGTAATTATATAAATATTGACTATGCCATGGTTCATTCACATACCCTTTTATTAAAATGAATATTGACATGTTTGCTTTGGTTTATATTCAGCTTAATGTTTTTATTCACCTTGACAAACTATTCAACAAAATCTTATATTAAAATAATCAATATGTCGCATATACATGAACAATGTTTTAATAGTACCTGTAGGTTTTCTTCATTTCTTGGTTTGATGGAATAAAACTTCTACACTGTTTAGTGTATCAAAAGCAGTCTGTCTTAATGAAATGTATCTTTGACAGAAGCTCTAAATTTTCTTGCGTGGTGAAAATCAAGGTCCTGTCATTCATCGGCGCCTGTTCTGTTCAACCACAGGAACTGTTCTCCGTCACATATCTTTGCAAACGTCCAGTCGAGGACAAAGTTCTCGAGGACGTCTGGTTTTTCTGGCAGCTGACGTCTCCGTGCCGTCCTCACTTCTTGGAGAAGGCTGTTTCCAGAGGGTAAGGAGGCTCTTGACTGGGGTGCCACTGACTGCCGTACAGTTTGGAGAAATTTCGCTGTGTTTGAGCTATTGCCCAAACTCGTTGTGGTGTTCAACCGTAGCACTGCGAGGATAAGGGCAAGGATATATTTCGGTTGTCCTGCCTCCAGCATAACCTTCCTATATTTGACAACACCTCAAAGACTCATGAGCTTCCGGCCTTTGCTAGGAGAATCGTGCCTTCGGCAACTGTAGGTTGCCGCCCGTTACAGCAAAGTATCAAGTACTCGGGCATGTCATCCTGCTTAGAGCACTGCACGGGCCGGAATTTCTAGGCCCGGCCCGACCCGGCCCGGTAGAGACACGGCCCGGGCCCGGCCCGGGCCCGGCCCGAGCCCGACAGAATATTTTATTTCTAGGCCCGGCCCGACCCGGCCCGGTAGAGACACGGCCCGCGCCCGGCCCGAGCCCGATAACATTTTCAAATATGAGCCCGAGCCCGGCCCGAGCCGGAAAACTGGGACCGAGTTTTTTATGCCATAAATATGTCAACTTAGAATATGTATTGTCGAGAGTATGGGTGAAATATGCGCATCATTTGCGACAGTCTTTGAACTCATGGCACACCGACAATCCTTGAGACAAAAGTGGGGAATTTTTTATTTATGAATTTATTGAAGAGGTATTGCACTTTTTTTTTTGTTCTATTCAATTCGTTTAAGAGAAATTTTCTTTCTACATATTTTTGTGGAGAAACAATAAATTTTCTATGGACTCTTTCTTCAGGCAGGTCCGTCTTGCTTGCATAATGTAGCCCGCCGCGCTAAAGTTCCGTTCGCTGCTAGCACTTGTAGCAGGGATGCACAGGATGCGTTTGGATAGAATGTACAGTTTCGGGAATTCTTTCTCGTGCGCTCTCCAGAAGTCACAAAGTTCAATACACTCATGAGCACGAGTAGTCTTTCTTGCCGTGTAGATACTCCTCCAATCCGTCGGTGGCTACCTTGTCCTCCTCCGCGTCACACCAGTCTTCAAACAAACCCTGGCACCTTCTTTTTGATGCGGGATCTGGAACGTCATCGTTTGTCTCACCTTCATCTTGGGTCATTGCTCGGTGACACGGGCAAGTAGCTTTCTGACGTGCGCGTAAACTTCAAGGCGCTCGTCCTCGGGCAACATGCGGAGTTGGCGGAACTGAGGCCAGAGAAATGTGGCGGTCTTGTGGAGGAGGGAAATTTTCAGCTTCGTGTCCAGGAAATGACAAGCACGGGACTTGATCTTCTCGATTTCCACTGCCTCTACAGCAGACACCGCCGCACAAGGTTTAATATGTTTCTTCAACGGAGAAGCGTAAAGGACAACCAGAGGAAGTGTTGGACGTATTTTCTCTTCGAGCGCGTCGGTAGCATCTTTGAAGGGTTGCAGGAACACGATTAACTCGTTGAGTGTTGTCTTGTTCACGCTTTCCATCAATAGATTGTTCCTTGACTCCAGTAGAGCTTCTATCTCCTCTATCTCCTCGAACTGAGAGCAGACGGACTTTAGCATGGATACCTTTGAATTCCACCTGGTGGGGACTTCCTGACTGACAGTTTGCTTTAGCTGGCTGGCTAAACCGCTTTGCTTTAGAAAAGTTACAACGGCCTTCGTCGCCTGGACCGTTTCGCTAACCCACGGAACCTCATTGGAAACAAAGTCCTCTGCAAACGTGTTCCGCAGAACAGTGTTCAGCACGTGTGCACTGCAATCCATTCTCTCATAATCCTGCAGTGCGCACACAATATTTGGCCTTGATCGGTCACGAACGTTGCTTTTTTCAAAGCGGCATCACACACTCACAGCTTCATGAACCTCCGCACTAGTTCCTTCCGAATGTTGTCCCCGGTCTTCCGCTCATTGGGAAAGTCGCACGTGAACACAACACGGCAATGCATGCTCCAGTTGGCGTCGATATAATGCGCGTTAGCTGTTGTGTACGAGATCTTCTTGAAATCGTCCGTCCACAAGTCAGTCGTAATGGCGCACCGGCCTTCATTGAGCGCAAGTTGGATCTCGGGCATGATGCTTTTCTTTTAAAACCGCCGCAACTTCGGTGACTTTTCGCGACACAGTTGTGGGATGCGGTAGAATATCCTCAGCGTTGACCTTTCCGTATTTAGCACCGATCTGAATCAGCTCTTCTGCAACGGCCTTGAAGCCGCTGCCGCTGACGACATCGAAGGGTCGCATGTCTTTCGCACAAAGACGCGCGCGAGCGGCTGTCACTTTCTCCTTATCGTCCGCAGGCACGGGAGGTTTAGAGCATTGAGGTGATAAAAAAGAAGTAATACTTGCGTTGTTCGATGAAACCTTGCACTTGTGACGACTGAGATATGACGACCCGGTCTTTGCAGAATCGTAGACAAAGAAGGATTTGCACGAACGACACTGAACATGTCCTTTGGGCACCGACGTTCTGGAGTCCACGACTGTGAGAAATTTTTTCCCATACAGAGCTTTTAGAGTTTGTCTTCTCAACAAGTGTGTAAAGTCCGCAGGCGATGCCATGCTTAAGCTCGCCGATCGTCGATGTTGGCGTACCACCTTCCATTGCTGCCACCCGGACAAATATGGCGCAGGCGAGGGCACCTAGCAACGGCGCTCACGCCGGATTGGTTAACTCGTGGAGAGAGACGCTGCCGCCGTCAACATAAGCAGCGGTTACATCGAGTTTCCGAAGCGGTGGCTTAGCGGCGCGCCGCCGAAACATCTTAAACCTCTCCTCCCGAGTAAGCCAATCAGCACGCGGCGCAGATCGAGAGGCATGAGCGCATGCGCGTGAACTCCCGGCTGCTCCCAGCTGAGTGGGGAGGGCCGCCATCTTCGATCATTCTCCCGACGGAATGCGTGAGATCGGCATCTAAATCTCGATTATTGCCTTTTATATCGCTGGCTCTGGCAAGAAAATGACATTCTGTTATTCCTCGGTGGGTTAAAAAGCTAATAAATGAAGATTTTTCGGCGTAGGGCCACAAACTTTTATTCAGGCGAAAATGAAGTCGGCCCGTAGCAGACGACGCCTAGCCTCAGCAGTGCTCTTCTCCGACCAGTCTCCGACAGCGTTGCTAAAAAATGGCGGTCGTCTCCTCTCGGCTCCCTTCTTTCTCTCTCGCTCCTTCGGCGCTCTCCTCCCTTTCATTTACTTTTCTCCTCTCCGGCGCCTTTGTCGCCACACCCACTGCCCAAACTCTCCCAATAT